GACAGTGCGCAGGAGGGAGCGCTGCCTGCTGTCAGGATGGCGGAGCGGTGAGGGGGAGAGAAGCCGCGCCCGCAGCTGTCAGGATGGCTGAGCGGGTAGGAGATCGGAGCCGCTGTCATCCTGTCAGTTGACAGAGCGGGGGATCGGTAAATAGCATTTATATTTACCGATCCTCCATGTGAGAAGGACAAACACTGGAGCGATCGTCTGATCACTCCAGTGTTTGTAAATAACTGGGGACACATAGTACTATGTGTCCCCAGTTATGAATGAACAGGCTGTGATTTACATCACAGCCTGTTCATTCAAGATTTCCTCAATTGCGAGAAACACTCACTATAGAGGCTCCTCCCCATTCAGAAACAGCTGATATTTCTCTATCATCAGTTTCTGAATGAATGGGAAGCCTCTGTACTGAGTGCTTCCCATTCATTGAGTGCTGAGGCTGCAGAAAAAGAAATTGAGGATTTGGTGTCCTCAATTTCTCTTCTATTTTAAAAGGGAAATGTCAGGGATCTCTTTGGACCCCTAATATTTCCCCGAAGCCCCCCCCCCACCCAACAGTAAAAAATAATACAAAAATAAAAAAAGCCTAAGGCCAGCCCTGAGTGTGGTAAAGCAGGGAGTGTCTAACAGGGAACTATATACTAATTCACAACAAAAGGGAGAAACTATGGCATGCACCAAGGCACAAACACAGCAATAAACAACAATAAAGTTGGATGCTGGCGTCAGCACATCAACAGTTTTACCTGACAGGAAGTCTCCAACAGCACCTCTGAAAGAAATAAAAAAAAATTGGAAAGTATGGGAAATTTGGAATCAAATTATTCTCTCTGTGTCAGATATTCACACTAGCCCGTCTGCTAAAATTCCCTGTTTTGCATTCCCGGATACAAAATACACAAATGTAAGTCCTTTGCTCAATGAGATCCAGCCTGACCGAATGAAAAGCCAAGTGCAACACAGAAGTCCTACTCTTACCTTTTAAAACTTCTGATTAGGCCTATAATTGCAAAATATGGTGCATTTAAGAAACAAATTCCACCTAAAACAGAACTATCCCACTCTACATAACTCTACTCAAGAGATTTCTGCACAATACAGACATTATTTTAGCGTAAGACGTATTTTATCCAAAGCGATGAGGCTTTGCCATTTTTTAATATTATTAGTCTGTGCCTGTGTTCCGTGTCCCCTATTCCACCTTTCACTCTACAGTCTAATAGTTCCCTTGGGCACTATGGTTTTTCACTTTCAAGTTAAAAAGTAGTGACTGTGAACAGGGGTGGGAGGAGAGCAGTGCCCTACTTTCCGCTGCTAACCTTCACAGAATGATGAAGCATTTTAGCTCGGAGCTGATAGATATAGCAGCTTCCCATCTACTGCTCCTAAAGGTGCTTACTTCCATTAGGATATATCCCAACTGGACTAAGATTAAGTGTCTGACATGTTCGCAGAGTGGAGATTGAAAAGCTTGAATCTGTTGGTACTGGCGGCTAGGTTTATGGGGTGGATGCAGATTAAAAGGAGATTGTGACAGTCAAAAAAGAAGAATGGCTAGATTACATAAAGCCATGTGTTCGCTAGACAGCTGCAGACTCTGTTTCATGATACAGAATAATGGAATACTCAGGAGATAAAGAGGAAAGCCATAGGGTAATATCTTTAAAAATAACCTTTACTATTCTATGCCTACAAAATCTACTTGCACACTAATTAATGTTCAATACCATTTGTGAAAACAAGTACTGCTAAGGAAATTAAAATGTCTTCAGATTCTGTTCCAATAGAGATTAATTTTTTTGCATGTCTTTATATGTCCTAATATAATTACATGGAAGCACATATTAAGATTCTGTTAAAATGGATTTGGTTTAGTTATTTTATATGTCTGTGTGTTGTCACATATGCTGTATGTATACTGTAAAGTAAGACGCCCTTTTGTCTTTACAGCAGCCTGATAATGATTTATGTGGCAACAATAGTATTAAAGTTTATGCCAAACCAACTATGTCAAACTTTTTTTATTTCCGAATAGAGTGGGGAAGGATTATAACATCTGGCAGGTTGTTACTGCTCACTAGGGCTTTTCTCCATATTGCTTTCAGAGATTTACCCTAACTTCCTGTCTGGTGAACCCATTGTCACTAAACATACACTTTTTGCAGATATATCTACCACACATCAGACATTCATGTTGCAAACCTCCTGACCCACCTCATTCCACAGGACTTATGCTTTATAGACCAAATTTCGATCCTTCCATCTGTATGTGGCAGAAGAAATCAAGATTTGCTCCAGTCATCCAATCATGGTGATCCTCATTTTACTACTCTAAGTGGAATCTGCCATGTGCTTCTGCAGTATCCTTTTTAAGGCTCAATGTGTTGGGCATTCAGATATGCCTTTTTTAAACTACTGTCGTTGAAACCTATAGAAAGTGTTGAACTGCGCAAATAATTACTCCTCCTGTAGATAAAATTGTGTTTTTACATGGACAACTTCTGATTATTGAATTATTTTCCTATTTTACACAGTTCAAACTATAGTATATTAAACATTCTGTCAACAGTTCTGAGATGTTGTAACTTCTTGGGCTGGCACCAACAATTATGCTTGTCCAAAACTGCTTAGATCATGTATCTTTCCCATTTGTTCCTTACTTTTTTTTAAAAATAACCATACTAATAATGTCTACAAAAAAAAACATGTCAAATGATCAACACAAATAACTTGAAAGGCCATAAAATTGCAATTTACAAAAGAACTCAGAGCACTTTTTAATAACAGCACTGGTAACCTGCATAGACAGGAAGATAGTATGCTAGATCATTATGCAGAATACACTTGAAACAGTAGAGAAAGGAAACGTCTAGGGGGAATCTGAAAGTTAAAAAGAGAGAAGAAGAGGGAAGGAATGGCTAAGAAAGGAACAGGGGAAGGGACTAGGGTGGAAAAATATACATATGAAAAAAGTTTTAGAGTTGTAATATCTATGCATCATGCATGTGAGGGGTGTTGGTACGCATTAGATGTCTATGCAAGATTTATATTGTACATTTAGAAGTTGCCCTCCAGCTTGTCTCCAGGTTTTCCCCCTTTTTGAAATGCTAGGTGGGTGTATGAATATTAACCAAGCCAAGAGTGAGCAAATTTCAGAGAGAAATTCTGTATTCATTTCAATAGACATTGAAAGGGGTGTATACTGTAGTGTTAAAAGTCCCCATAACACTTATAGATTTATGTCCACGACTTTCAGTATTTTCCTATAGAGGGGTAAATGTTTTAAACTCAAGCATCTGTTCAATGTGGAATTGTAAATCTGATATCTTGTAATAACATTTATTTTATATATTATAAAATCGATTAGCAAATCATTATTTATGGGAGGATGGGGGGGGGGACTTGAGAAGTCCTCTATTGCTTTGGAATCAAACTTTGTGCTGCATTTGTAAGGCAAATTCAAAGAGATTTTATGTATTTAAGTGGCCCTGTCAACCTAGTGAAGGTAGACACATTGGAGAGCAAAGGAAATGAACGGCAGTATGAAAAGGAGAGGGGGTAAAAATGAGCAGTGCTATTGGGGAAGAGAGGGGAAGCAGAGGAATGGTACTAGGGTCAGGGGAGTGGGGATGATGATCATTGCTTGAACGTTTTGCCGCACTCCTTTCCGATAACCCTTGTGAAGAGACAGGCACTGTAATGACTGCAAAAAATGATCAAAGTAATGTCAGGAATATCAGCAGCATACCAAAACATCATTTCCAAAACTTCTTCTTTATTTACGCATTATGTCACATTACAATGCAACGTTTCGGGGCCACGCAGGGTCCCCCTTCATCAGGCTTAATATGACAAATGCTCCACCAAATCCACAACCTTATATATCAGACGTAATGGTGCAATAACCAGTGAAAACATTTGAAGAATAGCCTTCCACTCCCCCCTGACATCAGAATGACATAATACTGTAAACAAAGTACACAAGAATACAAGTCATCGGTTGAACAATCTGAATATCTAACATAACTCCTAATGGCTGTGTATTCAGGACCTCTTACCAATGTCCGAAAAACCTCTGCTTTACCTCTCAGCAAGTGAGGAAAGAATTGTTGCTGCTCGTACAGCCGTTACCTGACAGATCTTATCCCCTCCCATCCATGCTTGCGGATCCAGGCCACTGCGAGCCTCTGCCTCTTCAATCTGGACATGCACAGTACAAATCTCAGGATTCTAGCAATAGGAGACACTGACATTCCCCTGATGAAGGGGGACCCTGTGTGGCCCCGAAATGTTGCATTGTAATGTGACATAATGTGTGAATAAAGAAGTTTTGGACACGATTTTTCAGTGTGCTGGTGACATTCCTGACATTACTATGGAGAAGATGATCTGTGCTATGGAGTAAATGAACAGTGCTACGGAGAAGGGAATGAGCAGCACTATGGAGAGGTGAATGGAGGTGACAAATGGCGTAATGGAGAGGATGATTGCCACTATGGAGAAGGAGACAAAGTAAATTAGCATCACTTCGTAATTTCATTAACAGTGTTTACTAGCAGTGGAATTTTCACTTGTGTCCCATGTTGTATGTCACACTTTACTGATTCTCCTTGTGCCCATCTTTTGTTAAAACAGTGTATGTGTATACAACTAGTGTATATTTGGCATGCCACCCTATTTATTTGTATGTAAAAAAAATGTACAAAGGTAGATTAAACAACATGAATTCACATCATTGGTAACTCTGTAATCTGCCTCTAGTGCAGTATGTGAATATTCCATAGTATGTATGTGTTTAGAAAACCTTAAGTAGTACTTACCAACATTTTTCTATGGCATACATTTTGCTTGTGTTTCTTGTTTTAACAGACAGTAACTGTGTACGGATGGTACAGCTTGGAGTTGTCCACCAACTTTTAGACCTATTAGAACAACATGTTGAGAATGGAGACGTGGCTGTACAGCACGCTGCTCTGAGTGCACTGCGCAATCTTGCCATACCAGGTAATGTAAGCTTTTAAAACTGTATCTAAACAGAGGAGAGACAGCCTGGAGAGAGAGTGAGGAGAGACAGCCTGGAGAGAGAGTGAGGAGAGACAGCCTGGAGAGAGAGTGAGGAGAGACAGCCTGGAGAGAGAGTAAGGAGAGACACCCTGGAGAGAGAGTGAGGAGAGACAGCCTGGAGAAAGAGCGAGGAGAGGCAGTGGAGGTCTACACCCGTACTGTGCACTAAGTGCGGCTGCATATGGGCAGTCAATCCCGGACAGGTGGCAACCGTCACCTGTATACCTTCCAGGAACTATACTAATGTGTGCACTCACACAGTCCTGTGGTCACAGTGGATCACAGGCAAAAGGTACAGAACCAATCATAGTGGCAGTACAAGTGTCTGATCTCAACCAGTACAATTCCTAAATACAACCTGTTCCAGTACCATTTCTGGCACTTCTGGGGGAAAAAATAATAATAAAAAAAATGTATATACATACACACACTACAGTATATTCCCAATATTGTTGCCAACATTGCCAAAAGTATTGGGACTTTAATGGCATCCCAGTTTTAGTCCATAGGGTTCGATATTGAGTTGGCCCACTATAACAGCTTCAACTTTTATGAGAAGGTCTGGCTCGCAGCCGCCGCTCTAATTCATCCCGAAGGTGTTCTATCGGGTTGAGGTCAGGACTCTGTGCAGGCCAGTCAAGTTCCTCCACCCCAAACTCGCTCTCTTATGTCTTTATGAACCTTGCTTTGTGCACTGGTGCGCAGTCATGTTGGAACAGGAAGGGGCCATCCCCAAACTGTTCCCACAAAGTTGGGAGCATGAAATTGTCCAAAATGTCTTGGTATGCTGATGCCTTAAGAGTTCCCTTCACTGGAACTAAAGGGCCAAGCCCAACCCCTGAAAAACAACCCCACACCATAATCCCCCTCCACCACACAATGCAGTCAGGCAAGTACTGTTCTCCTGGCAACCACCAAACCCAGACACATCCATCGGATTGCCAGACAGAAGCGTGATTCGTCACTCCAGAGAACACGTTTCCACTTCTCTAGAGTCCAGTGGTGGCGTGCTTTACACCACTACATCCGACACTTTGCATTGCACTTGGTTATGTAAGGCTTGGATGCCAGTACTTACCCCTGATACTGGCTGGGTATCGGGGGTAAGTATTGAAGCATTTGGGCGATTATTAGTACTCACCCAAATACTCGGTATCGGCACCGATACTAGTATCGGTGCATTCCTGGTTGTTACCCTAGGACACTTACCCTCTCCTCAATAATAGAGGAGGTGGTTCTGCAGTACAAAAGAGAACTGGGAACAATGTCAGTAAAAAGATTTAGCACAGGCAGAGAACAGTTATCATCTCACAGGTTTTTTTGAGGTTCAACAGGTATATTTTTGCACTGATCCAACAGATATAACATAAAGCTTTCAACTGCAATTTAACAGACCAAAATAAACAAAAATGAGAAATCAATTGTAAAAGTTTACATATACCTTAATTAGGAGTTTGTTTTTTGTCCTTTTTAATGCCCTTGTGCACTCGTATGCCCTTTTTTTCTTTAATATGGTTTAGGACATTACTACACGTATGTATAGAGTTACATAATTGTTAAGGTGGAATAAAGACACAGGTCCATCTAGTTCATCGTGTGTGTGTGTGTGTGTGTGTGTGTGTGTGTGTGTGTGTATGTATGATTCTGTGGAAATCCTACTGCACTTCCTTACTGGTATGCCCCTTGCGAATGGGTGTTGAAGTGACTGCGGATGTTCTGTCCTTACCTTTTTACTAGTTATATATTTGAAGAATTTTTGTGGGTTTGTTTCACTTTCTGTAGCAATGTGTTTTTCATATTCTACTGTATTTTAGCTGCCCAGATTCGGCTCTTGCATCTCCTATTGCAATCTTTGTATCTCTGGAATGCCAATATTGACCCTTTCCGCTTCACATTTTTTAAAGCAATTTTTTATATATATTTTTTTTTTACCCTCGGATGAAGCCACCTTTGTTTAACATCTGTTCTTTTATATTTGTTACCTAATGGGATATACTGGCGAATGCTATTGTGTAGTATGTTCTTAAAATACTCCCACTTATCCTTGTCCTACTTATTCTTTGATAAGAAAACATTTGGTCTCATTTGGTATCATTTAGTAAGGAACATAGCTCATTGCAATTTGCCTTTTTGAAGTTTAGAGTTCTTGCCATGCCAACATGACTGTCTTTTCTGTATCTTACTGAAAACGTAATCATCCTGTGATCTTTATTACCCACGTTTTCACTAGTTTCTACATCAGCAACCACCTCCATGTTGTTAGAAATGATTAAATCTAGCAGAGCATGTTTTCTAGTTGGGACTTCTACAAGTTGATTCCTGAAATTGTCCTGGAAAAAATTCAAGAAACAACAAGCCTTACTTGAGTGTGCAGTTTATTTTGTCCAGTCGATGTCAGGATAATTGAAATTTCCTATAATGATAACATTGCGCTGTTTGCCAGCCATTTTTAGCTGTAATAGGAGCTTAGTCTTCTCTTCATCCTTTGTTAGGGGGCCTATAGCATAAACCCACAATCAGAGGCGTAACTAGAACCTTCAGGACCCCGGTGCAAGATTAACAGGAAGGCTGCCGAGGACCCCAGCAAGCGCGGGACCTCGGGCAGCCGATTGTTTAAAATTTTAGTGCGGTGTTCTGTCGAACGCTGACCCAGTATCTGCGCTTGCGTACAGACGGGATTACCGAGGAAACCGGCATTTATTTACAAAGTATTTGTTTGTAATGGTTAATTGTGACTGTTAATAATATACCATCTATGGCAGCGAATATGAAATACCATATGAAATAATATATGTACACAGCAGAATGTGCTGCCCGGCGGTGCCTGCAGCATATTCTGCTGGTGACAGTCTCTCCCATCCCTGCCGCACAGCTGTCAGTACATGCTGCGGGCGACTGTGCGGCACTCTCTCGGTGGGGCCCTTTTCTTCCTCACTGGGCCCCCCCCCCCCAAGTGGCAGAACGCCAGGGCCCGGTCGCAATTGCGACTGCTGCGACCCTGGTAGTTCCGCCAGTGCCCACAATCAATTTACAATTCGCATCAATCGCATGTAGCATATATCTCTAGCCAAAATGACTCTAATCCTAGTAATGTCATCTCTCACATTCACTTTTTAGATTGCTCATACATACACACCCCTCCACCCCTTCCAATGACCCTGCCCCTTAACAGATTGTACCATTGGATATTTGCAGCCCAGTCATGTGAGTTATCAAGCCTTTCTGAATACCACCACTTTCTGAAATTCCATTGCTTCAGATACCATCATCTTGCTGTGTCCAAGATGGCAGCATCCATACCTGTGTATGACATCATGTGACGCAAGGCTCCTTCCATGACAGTGGATTCATAGGTTCATAGCTTCGGAATCCAAAACAGGATGATTATTCATTTCATCAAACAAAACAAATAAAAAGGTTTTTCCCTTTTCATTTGTTTTGTCCAAAACAAATGTTAGTTCTAGCTCCTCCATTTTATTTGTTAGGCTCCTGGCATTTGTGTACATATCTTAGTTTTCGTCAGGTTCGACATGCAGTGGAACTTTTTTTATTTGGGCGAGTCGGTGGGCGTCGCTCATCATGATTGATGCTGGATTGCATAGATGGTGCCATATTTTTTTTTTTAATAAAGGACTTTTTAAAAACTGACTGTTTTGTTTTTTAATTTAGGGACTTTTTCAAAATGTGTGGTTTCTTTATTTACTTTTACTTTTCACCCTTTAGTGAATGAGTAAAGGTGCAAGTACCCCTACTCATTCAAAAGGGGAGGTGGCGGCATCTAGGTGCCCCCTTAATTAAAAGGGTTCCCGATGCAAATAACCCCCCACCCGCAGACCCCCACAACCACCGGGTCAGGGTTGTGGAGAAGTGTGCCTTGTCCCCATCAGCATGGGGACACCCTCCCAATGCCAAGGGCACCAGGCCTGGTATGGCGGAGGGAGGGGGGGGGCGCTTGATTGCCCCCCCCCCCTTTCCTGCCCTGCTGGGCCTGTGCTCAGGTCAAGGGTCTGGTTGGAATTTACGTTACACCTCATTTATGGGGGTTGACGGGTATGACTTTCGGGAGAACCACACACACTTTTTTTTATTCTTAACTGGGGGGAATCCTTCCTACCATTCCTACCAGACCTAAATGGTCTGGTATCAATTGGGGGGAACCTCACACTTTTCTTTTTTTTTCTTCTGCGGACTGTAAACAAAAAAAGTAAGTAATTCTGCTGCGTCGAAAATTTGTTAACAAACATTTGTATATACTACCGCTAATGAAAATTCGAAATCCATCAGAATCCTGAAACGAATTGACTTTCAGACCCGAATCCAGAAAACAAAAATAACGAAAATCTGAATCCAAACAAAACAAATTTTTTTGTCAGCGCACATGTCTTATATTCTTTACTGTGCGTTCCCCCCATATCCTAGTTTAAAAGCTCCTCCCAACTTTCTAACCATTCTTTCCCACAGCAGCACTGCTCTGTTCACATTTAGATGCAGCCCATCTTTACAATACAGCTGGTAACTGACCAAAAAGTCAGCCCAGTTCTTCATGAACTCAAACCCCTCTTTCTTGCACCAGTTCCAGAGCCACTTATTTAGTTTCCTTATCTCTCATGGCGTCTCTGTTGTGTCTTGTGGTACCGGGAGTATTTCTGAAAATACTAGCTTGGAGGTCCTTTTCATAAGCCTTGTTCCTAAGTCCTTGAAATCATTTTTTAGGACACTCCATCTACCTCTATTATTTTCATTGGTACCAATGTGTACCCTGACAGCTGGGTCCTCCCCAGCCCCACCCAACAACCTATTCACCAGATCCACAATGTGTAAAATTAGAGCACCCAGTAAACAGCATACTGTTCAACAATCATGGTTCCAGTGACAGATTATCCTGTCTGTCTTTCTGATGGCTGTGACGGCTGCTTCTTCTTTTCATGTTAAGAGCTTTG